CAAATATATATACATCATGGGCATGTTAAGGACAATGTTTAGGACAACTTAAAATCCATTGTTTAAAATGCTAGGCTGACCAATTGGCCACCAAGGACATGATTTTCATCCCTGACTGGAGTCGGCAGCAAGGAAAGGCAGATCACTATTTGCTTTGCATGAGTCTGTTCCAAATGATCTCACCAGCTGGATGAACAAGTTGTGCTGTGTGGTTTTCTTCTGGTTTTGGATTATGTCTAATTTCAGCTGTTTTGTCAATGGTTGACAGGTGATCAAGCCAGCAAAGAGAGTGTTGTATTTGCTCGACCCTCTTAAGCCAGATGGCTTTGGTGACAGTTCATACAAGGACATCTTTAGGTTTTTGTAACATAATTACCAAGCCCGGTTTTATGGCTTGTATGGGAATTCTAAATAGTTTATAGTATTCTAATACTGCAGTAACCACCTTGTAGACCAGGGGTCTGAATCTGATCAAATTCATTTATAATATATCTCCATTTCCACAAAGTCTGGTGTGTCATTAGTGGAACCAAAAAAAAAAAGTCTGCAACAGGATGCTATGAATTATAATGTTCATTTTGTTATAAGCCTTGTTCAAAGGTTGTTTTCAAGTTCAGCTTTATTCAGAGGCTGGTAAACGTCTTTTTGTTTGTTTTATTTTGCAATAGTTCAATGTAAGGAAATCCAAAAACATGAATTATATTGAGTATAGCGTTCCTTCACCAAATAAATTCCCATGTCTTATAATTTCTTTTGACAGTGACCTAGCGCACCGCATTGCTCCAGGTCAGTGGACAATAAAGTTCGGCAAAGACGTCAAGGTACATTTCTCCACCATCTCATACACCTGCTTTCACATGTCTTTATTTTCCCTTTGACCATGCACATCACTGTTATATTCCCAATACTTACAGGGTTTGCCTCACCAAACCACGGGTAATGACTGCGGTGTCTTCATACTGATGGTAAATTCCTCTCTTGACACTTTTTAAGGGGTTTTGTTAATTTTTGAAACTCATAACTTCACATATCTTTATCCTTTCACAGTATGCACTCAACTTCAGCACAGATGCTCCACTTTGGTTTACCAAGGTCAGTATTTATCCTCTGAGTTAGTATTTCAGGGGGAAGAGGGGGCTAACATTAAGTAGACAAATGATGAGGTTCCATTAATTTTCAACTTTATTATTGTTACATTTTCTTTTATCGTGACAGGCCTAAGCTTTATCCCATTGTATCGAGTCATACATGTTTTCTTATATTATGTTTTCCATCCATCCATCTTCTCCCGCTTATCCGTGGTCGGGTCGCAGAGGTAGCAGTTCCAGCAGAGAGCCCCAAGCTTTCTTTTCCCTGGCCACATCAACCAGCTCTGACTGGGTGATCCCAAGGCGCTCCCAGGCCAGCGAGGAGATATAATCCCTCCACCTGGTTCTAGGTCTACCCCTTAGTCTCTTCCCAGCTGGACGTGCCTGGAACACCTCCCTAGGGAGGCGCCCAGGTGGCATCCTAACTAGGTGCCCGAACCACCTCAACTGGCTCCTTTCGACGCGAAGGAGGAGCGGTTCACATTATGTTTTCATTCTAAGTTATTAAATGAACTCTGAAGATCTGCTAGTTGTTCTACGAGGCTACACCATTTAATACAAGACACAATAGAACAATTGGAAGCTCAGGGAAACATGTTGAGTCAGCAGTTATTGTCAGCGGATCAATAAACAGACGGCCAGTCAAACCGACGTGGCTTTTTGTGTTTGAGCTGCAATCCTCACAGCTGTTATTACCTGCCTTATCCCACTGGTTTTGACAGAGTTAATAAATTCAAAAATATTTAGGGCTCTGATGGGCCTTCATTCCTATGTGACTGCTCTGAATGATTCATGTGTTCCTAGATTCTGAATCAGTAGCCTTATGTTGTTGTCTATTTGTCTTTCTGCAGCTATATCCAAGATGTTGCTCTAACTACAGAAGCTACATGGTTATTTATTCAGGCACACTAAGGAAAAGATATCTACAATTCTTACAGTTATTTGGCCTCAGTATAGACACAACAATATTTAAATCAAAACTGGCTAAATATTCATTGGGAAACCCAGCAATTCTTTGTAAAATCAGACATTAAACACTCCCATAATACCCAGATGGAATTATCCTGGAATATCTTTTTAGATTGAATAGTGTGCAATACTGCATCAGTTTTCCAGAAGCCTATTGATATGTATGTACTAACAAATCAGGTACTGGTACCAATTTTGGAGATGTGTGGCGCAGTGGGTTGTGCGTTGGTGTTCGGGTCAGGGGGGTCACAGGTTCAAACCCCACTGCAGTCAGCATGTCGTTGTGTCCCTGAGACACTTCACCCCAAATTGCTCCTGTGGGGACTTACCACAGTATTGAGTATGTAAGTCGCTTTGGATAAAAGTGTCTAACAAGTAACATGTAATGTAATGTAAGCATGGTTCTCGGATATCAATCCCTACACAAAAGGATACTGTATGTTTGCTAGACATCGAAAACAGGTTATTTGCATGCTTTGATGGAAAAAATACAAACAATGCAAACGGCAGTAAGTGAATGTTTCTGGGTTGGATGACTGTAGTTATAGAAGCAGTTCTGAAGAGTATAATGTTCAACACCCTGGGGCTGCTACAGGATTAATACAATACAAGTGAGAAAACAATAAGCTCATGTGATAACCCCACACATATCTATTCTCACATGCCCTCATCTTCTAACATGTGTCAGAGGTGCTCACCCTTATTTAGCACCAGGCATGGTTGCAACAAATGTTTGGTATTGCCAGAAGCAGACTACATAGAGGATGACCATCTTTTATTTTCTTTATGACCCTGCAGCTACTGAAATACATGGTACACAACATTGTATATTTTCTTTTTAATGAAACAGATATTTCTCCATGAAAATGAACAAAAGATGCACCATTGGTGTCAACCTTGTTTTGTTGTTGAAATAACCCGCACTGTTAAGTCCCTTGTAAGCCTGTAGTTATTGGAACAATTTGAAACATTCACATAACATTTGTAACGGAGAGTTCATAATTCTTTAATCAATTGAGTGGTAATATATTTATTATCAAGATGGAAATGTTATAACTGAAATTAGTTTTAGTGCAACAATCACAAGAAAATCCTGAAAAAGGTGTGAAAGAATATATATCTAATTTATAATGTGAATTATATTTCCATGAACTGCAATCATGGTTGAAATGTCATAACAACTGAAAACATCACATTGTGTATGATGTTATAATAATAATAATAATAATAATAATAGATTTATTGTATATTTATTATCTCCCTTAAAAGAGAAAAAGTGCAAATGTTGATGAAATATCCTCCATTTATAATGTAAAATACAGCATACATCAATTTTGCATTAACAGTTATTACTTCGCTTGACCAGAAACAGGCTGATATAGCAAAAATATCAAATATTTGAGAATGAGGAAGTAATAAAAGCCTTCAGATATTTTTGCACAGCTCTGGTACTGAAAAGTGTATGTGTGCATTGGGTTTACCCACCCTCTGGAACTCCCTCCCTGCAGAAATCCGCAATGCGCCTTCTCTCAACATCTTCACATCAACCCTTAAAACTCATCTGTTCAACATCGCCTTCCAACACTAACTAACTCTCCCCCCCACTTACACTTCCATTTCTGCCCCCTGTTTTATGTTTATGTTTTATGTCTTTGTAAAGCGACCTTGAGGTTATGAAAGGCGCTATATAAATACAAGTTATTATTATTATTAGTATTATTATTATTATTAATGGTGTAGTCGAGTTGAAGCCAGGTCCTGCCTGAAGTCAGGACTAATCAGAGGCACAGCTCATACCCACGTTTATCCTGTGTGTGAGTGTGTGTTATCTGTGAGTTGTTGTCCAGCCCACAGACAAGGAGTATAAAATCTAGACAGGAAATTGACTTAAAACTTAAAGTGTAGCCTGCGACATCCTCTCCTGTGTCCTTTCTATTTTCTCTTTTTATTCTTTGTGTTTTATCTCTCTCTCTGTCTGCTGCTGGCTCTCTCTTATTCATTTTCCATTTGTGTCATTCTATCTCTCGCACTCTTTTTGGATTCCGTCCGCTTCCCTTTCCGTCCATCTTTCTGTGTAGAAAATCAATAACACACTCATCGGAAAACAGAAGCACTCATGAACAAATGAGACCAGACCTGTCTGGACTTTGTTCAAATTCTCTTCATGTTCATGTTCAAGCTCTGATTGTGAAGATATATGATCCTCACAACAGCAACAGTCAGAACAGACACTCCACTTTGTTAGCGAGGCTTTGAAGACCAAAACATCCTCTCATCACATATCTGTGCCTCACCTCAATACTCAGAGGGATATTTTTCATCAAGTAAAGGTTAAAAACAAACAAAGTATATCAAATAAATGATAAAGACTGTTCCTTTTACATTTATATGTCATCATATTTTGAATCAAACCCCCAGGAAGTTTGCTTGGCATTAAAGCACATTTTCGTAGTTGTCAAACTGTTGAGGACATGGCGTGTGTAAATACATCACTTTACATTTTCCATTTAAAGTGATATTTAAAACTCAGTTAATGGGGCTCATTCACTGGAGCTTCCACAAACAACAATCAACTTAATTATTACATTCAAATGAAGTACATTATTCAAGTTTACATTCATTTTGGATAATAACACAGGAGAAATGAGCGGAAGCGCTCTCTTTTCCTCTCTCCCTCTCCTGACAGCCTGTCAGTATCTCATGCAGCTCACTGATCCAGGAATGAGTGACCCGAAGAATACATATATTTATACCTAGTTTATCTTGTTCCAG